ACGTAAATTAAAATTAACGCGTGAGATGCAGCGTGGCGGCAGAACACGCCGTACCAGCGATATGACGATTCAATTGTTTGAATAATGCATGGCGACCCATTAAAATTAGCGTGTTTTTCAAGCGAATTTAAACGCAAAGGGAGGAGAATGGAAGAAACAGGGGAGCAAGGCTTCTTCTCTGCTAATCCTTCTCTGTTTTTTGAGGCAAATATAATCGTTGCTGTGCATTCAGCCAACCAGATTGTCGAGTACGTGCGCAGTCGGATCTGCTTTTATCGCTGCGGCGCAACTAAGAAATAATTAAGTGCGATTCACTTTGGTCTGTATAAGCGCGTCTTCGGTTCGCAATCAATTTTTGAAGAGATGTTTTAACCTGCCGCCTATTTTACCTCTTGTATTACTCGTCTATTCATTGTTATATTTAACGTCGCCGCGCGCTCTACTAAAGCTACCGTTTCTGCCGTTAAACCTGGTATTAATTCTCTCTTAATAAAAATATCATTTTTTCATAAAGTAAACTTCTAGATTACAGCTATTTAAACGAAACAAAGTTTCAACTACTGCTTTTACCCGCCGTTGATCAACGTGTGAACGCGGCGTGCTCACATTGAAACCGTTTGAAATCTCTGCTATTCGCTGACCGTCGGAGCTAAACCACCGAATCCTCATCCGCGTTCCTGGAAGAACGTTGCCAAAGTGAAGGCAAACTCAATGGTTTACCTTCGACAGTCAGCGAATAACGGAGAATGCAAACTGAGTGTAGACATCGTGCTTAACGCGTTGATTAACAGGAGTTTAATTACTAAAGTAATTCATCCCAAGTATCAAATTCTCTGAAAAGTTTGCTCCGAAAAAAAAGGGTAAAATCCTGTCAGAGGAAAAACGAACTTAAAATTTGTTACAAAATTTATAACAAAATTAAAATTCCTCTTATTACAAAACGTCGTAATGTTTCAATATACGTATTGCCAATTGTAGTCGAGAATAATAAACTTTTCTGGTTCCTACTTATTGTTAGAACCCTGTACCTCGCCCTGTACCTATCGATCAATCTTGCCGATGAGTCATCACGCCTTACCTCGAACGAACGTCGCGTTTCGCGCTGGAGATAAAGAATTCGGTCAGTAGTTGGCTGCCTCAACCGGATGTCAATGGCAATTTTTCCGGCCGTACTATACGGAATGACCTCGATGTTCCAGACGAAATGGAAAAACCGAGAAGTTCAATTAAATACTGATCAAAGCGTCGAACTCTAAATACCTCGAGATAACGAGGGACAAGGATTCGACAGAAAAGCCTAAAGGACCTGTAGAACATATGCGATAACTGAAAACGATAATATCGGACGAGAAAAGAAATGAATGATCTAACTAAAATATATCTAGAGAGATTTGCTATCGTAAAGTAAAAGCTTATAGGTAACGTTATTGATACCAATATGATTCAAAGAACAATCAAAGTGTATCATATTATTGCAAATTATACGTTAACGTCAGAAAAGTATCTTAAAAGTTACAGTTTCAAAGTATTATAATTGTTAATTTTACATGCCGTTTTCTTATGTCAAGCGTTTTTGCTCAAGTGTCAGTCAATTTTCACTTTTTGCTATCATTAACTGGTTGTATATTGTGTAACATAGCTTACAAAATTATCTCAAAACATAAAGTAGCTTACAATCAGGCGTTCCTTGGCGAGACACCTCGCACCAGTGCGACGCATTAAAATGTATTTAATTTAATTTTCGAGCGTTAAATCGTTTAACGTTCGACCGTTCGCTTGCCGACACTCAAGCTGCTTTTAAATCTGACTCTTCAAATGCACCGCCGCCGCACGTTTAACGCGGTCGTGCACCTCGTCAGTTCGCGACGTGAGTTTTACTATATCCGCAATGCCGGCTACTGACATGCAGTGGAAGTGCAGGTGACACGTGTACGGCGGCGATGGTGGCGGCGGTAGTGGTGGCGGCGGTGGTGGCTAGCCACCGCGATGCGGCATGTACGTGTGTGTCGGCGTCGGGGCGATTCCCGTCGCGCGCACAATCGGACACCTGTGCGGTCGCACAGAAAATGACCGTAATTCAAGTCATTATTCTCGTTCTAAAAAAGAAGCCTCTCTCACCGGCCGAGACCGTCCCGACTTCCGGTTGCGGCGAGCCTTTCCGCTCCGCTGCTCGATCGCGCGCACGGAACGGGACGGGATGAATTGGAGATCGAGGCTTTTTCACGAGGGCTTTCCGGAGGATTAGGTGGTTTCTGCTGACTGGGATCCGAGATCCACGAGCGATAACGAAGGATCGAATGCATTCGGGTCGACGGGGCTGACTTTACGATAAACGACTCGAGGTGTAACTAATAAGAAAGTTTATCATAATTTTCATACATCGCAAGAGGTTCGATTAAGAAAAATATTTATATATAAGTAAATTCCGAAATTTAATATTCCGCCAAAAAATTACCTACTTGATAATAATTTCTATTTCGCACAATAATCACTTTTGTTTTTGGAAGGAAACTTTTCATATTTAACTATTTCAAAACTTTTGTAGCAGAAATATTTGTGAAATATGTACGAAACATGATTTAGCTCACCATCATTATTTGAAATAGTCTGAGATAACATACGCGACCACACTAATAAAAATTTAATTACGCAAAAAGTAATAAATTTAATAACATATAAACCATATTTTATAGGATCTTATGAATGATTAAAAAAGCGAAAGAATTGAATAATAGATATTCATAATATTTGTAACAACTTTGCACTTTCCGATCTTCTTAATAAAACGATATCTTCTCACTAAACCCGACATCGTATCGTCCTTTTCGAGGAGTTTCCAATATCCCTCGCTAATCTCACGTGATTTTTTATCCACGCTTAAATATTGGCTTCGCAAAGGGTTAATCGCCGCTATTAACCGTAACCGTAAGCTCGGAGCTTAACCGCCGACCTGTCTCCAAACGTTGCTTCTCTTTAATGTCTCGGAAGTCTTGCCAAGACTCGGATAACGAAGGAGCGCGGTTAAGCGGCGAAAAAGCAGCTTAACCTCCTCGCTTCTCGGCCATTTATTTCTTGATGACGCCTCGCCCGTAGCTGCGATCGAACGATAACTTTCGTCGCCCCGGCCGACGATAAGAAGCGACGCTAAACAAAAGCGAGAACGAGATAACGCAATGTTCAGGCGACGAAAAGCTCCGAAAGGACAGAAATCGTCGACGCTTTTGTCGACATCGCTCTTACCATCATCGTCATTGTCGTCGTCGTCGTCGTCGTTATTGTCATTGTTGTGAACGAGATGTCTTTTCACACGTCAAGAATTGAACTAGACAAAACCGAGTTTTCAAGCGCGTTTTTCGAACTCTTATACTTCGATTTTCGCGCTGCGAATGAATCGTCTACAAAGTGTTCATAAAGAATTCAACATATCGGCAGCTCGGCAACGCTTTCGTGCGAAGCGGAAGTAAAAAGAAGACCGGAAAAAAAAGAGGTAAAACGCAAGTATCGGATACGACGATTCCAAGCTAGCCATCGCGCGTCACGTGATCGATACTGGCGCGGCCGAGAGGTATCGAGAGAGTCCCGGAAGCTCAGAGGGAGGCGCGATAAATCTGTTTCGAAGACCATCGAAATTCCGCGGACGTAAGGCACAAGGGGAACACACATAAGACATGGGGAGAGATGAAAACGAAGGGAGGCTGAGAGGAATCGAAAGCAGATAGGGATTGACTGACTCGTGTCTTTTCAGGACTTTTAGCCGTCGGCGTCGGACCCTTCGACGAAGTCGGCGCGGAAGGGTCTTACGCACGCACGCACCCATGTCGAGAGTCACGCGCGCACACATGACGCACACGCGTACAGGCGGGGCGGACAAGCTGTGTGGAAAGCGGTAGCTATTGTTACGGGTATTATTTGCCACTAATCAGAATGGGAGGTCAAACCCGGGTGCAAAGGTGTAGGTCTTTGAGGATATGTGTGTGTGCGTGCGTGCGTGCGTTTGTGCGTATGCGCGGGTATGCGGCGGGTGTTTACACAGAAAAAGGGACGAGAGAGAAAGAGAGAGACTCGCGCGTGCTCCTAGTTGAATGTTGAACGCACTACCGCCGCGAACGAGACACAGCCTGATTGCAGACCCCGCTGCTGTCGTTGTCGGCACCACGCCCTGACCCACGAGATTTTCAAGATACCCGGCACACGACCCACAAGCCCCGTACTTTATGCGGGGTCAACCAACTCGACCCCTCGTCGTTACGAGCGCGATATCGATACAACGGCGCGGCGCAACGAAACTTTCTTACGACGCTGACGGCACTTAAATACGGATAAGAAAATGATGGTGGGAGAAGCGTTTATTATAGGCCAGAGACGCGAGCCCTTCTTAAAAAATGCACATAACTAGATATAGGGTGTTCCGATGATCGCGTATACACTCAACAAAAAATATATATTTACGTCAAAAGTTAAACGACAAAGAAGTCGCAATGTCGAGACAATTTCGAGTTATAAGCATTGAACATTAAGTAACATTGGCACAAATTAAAAAATAGAATATTAAGAAATTTCTTTTAGAAATGAATGGAGAAACAAGAAATTTGCATTTAATTTCGAATGGATTTTACTTTGACAAAAATGTAATTTCAAGCTCAATTACCAAGACATTTAACTTTGAGAAGTAATATTATGTCTAGAAAGATTTTTATTAAGACAAAGTCTACTCCAAATCGAACGAAACTACATATAATTGAGAAAAAAGACAGATACGCATAAACGTATCAAATCAGACATTAAGAATCAAATACTCGATGAAACTTCAATAATAAAAATTACAATGTTTACAACAATTGATACAACAACTCGTTGCACTAAATTGTTGCAGATATAATGAAATTTTATTCGCAATTTTCTTCTCTTTGTTATATAAAAGACGTGAATATAATAAAGAAGGGATAAAAAGCGAGCGCGAAAGAAAATAGTAGAGAAAAAGTGCGAAAATAGAAGCTCACCCGTGTCGAAGGAAGCGAGGTCACGGCGATGTGCTGACGACGCTCCAGTGATTCGTAGTTTTCCCAATAGTATTTCTGCAACAACAAAATTCGCGATTAGTCCATGGATTGGTCGTTACAAGCCATCGATTCGGTATTTAAGCCTCCCGGATGTTTGTTTCCGGCAATAATCACACACACACACACACACACACACTCACAATGTATGGTTTGTGGTTGAGTCTATACATAGGACGAGTTAACAATAAGATCGAAAAATCGAAACTCTCCGCATTTCGCCTTTGAGGTCAGACAAAATCGCACACCAGGTGCCGCATTTTGTACACGCTCGTAAACTCGAAAATATTTTGCAAATATTTCAATTTACTACATTCATCTTACAAAAAAAAAAAAAAAAAAGGTAATGGACGCGTCTACAAATACATCTACGTATTTAAATATAAAATAATTATAATTCTTTTATTTTATAATCAAACTCATTAGTATCAATGTTATTATATAATATGGCAACTTTGTAGCACATAGATATTTAATGTACAAAGGTAACACTTTTGTGAAATATACCGAATAAAAAACTTGATTGTTTGGAAAAATTATATTTTTGCTGCCGCGGATATTTTTATAATTTTTACACGTTATGATCATTTACGAATTATTTTACTATACTTTTGATATCATACAATATTAATAATTAATAATAAAGTGTTGACCAACGTATTGGTAAGTCGTTCCAAAATATAAGCGCTCGATATCGACAAGCTTCGCTCTTGTAGACTTTAATAAGTAAATATCACGTAAAATGTATCGCGACATTTCCGAGAGAACAATGTTTCGACCGTGACGTCGCGCTAGACGGCGCGGCGTGGTGGATTTTAAAAGAGACTGACAGACTATAGATCCATATAATATATGTACATATTAGGAGGACAGAATAATATACCCTAAAATACATCGCACGTTCCGATGGCGCATTATTTTCGAAAGTCGCGAACATTACTTTCCGCGACGCCATTCCATGTATCATTCGTATGCTTTTAGTCTTCATTATGCGAAACTCGTCGCAAAAACATATCATCGTAAGAGTAATTGTAAGTGATGTTCAAGAATGAAATATTCGATCATTATATGACCAAACAAAATTTGCGCGCTGAAATTTAAATCGATTTTGCAACGCTGATTAATACTCTATGGAGCAAGTGTATTGTCGGTACATTTGGCCATTATTCAATTTCACGGATAACCTGAATATCGCAATATCTAGATACTGGCAATTTAATAGGTCCAATAACTCTTCCTCACATTGCACGGGACATCGTATCGATGATGCGTAAGAGGCACCGCCGCTCGAAGAGAATTATTCCGAGCACCGCGAGCGATATCGAGAAGACGATGGAATTTCCGTCGGCCGGAATTCTTGCCCCAGCCAAGGAATTTCCGCGGGCTAAAGAAATCGGGAAGTCAGAATACGGCGGGCGCGGCGGAGTGATCCGTGCATTCCGTCAAATCGACGGAAGTCGTTTCGGAGCTGTTAACGGGAGTTCGAAATAGTTGGGTGAAGAAACCGACAAAACTGACACCCACTCGCGAGCGGTATTTGCAGACGGAATCGCGTTGCGGCTCGGCCGACCGCGGCTTCCCCGGAAGTACCGTATCTCCGAGGCGTGTACATACATACGTACACCGCGGGGTTAATTCGACAGTTGCCGACGTGGACGTCGAGAATGTTCTCTCTCGGATTCTATCCGAAGTATTCCGAGTATAGAGCGCACCCCCGCCCGCAAACTGACCGCTAACCAGCGATTTTTGAGGAATCCAAAGGTGACTGACGCGCCGCCTAAGCTCTCCGATCGCTCGATATCGATCTCTCCACGGATTCGAGGGAGAGCCCTGTTCTGACCGCCGAATCGGAACATTGGGAGATAATTCGCCCTCACGTATAGACGTGCACACGCACACATTTGCATGAAAATCGATGTCCGACTATTCTGGCATGACGCGTTTACGCGTTAATACCAAGACGGTTTAACTCGCTGCTAATATCGCTGCTAATATCGTTATCCAAGTAAAAAAATAAGACTTTTAACCTTAAACTTGTAAATAAACTTACGACACTTTTATATTCTTGCTTTTCGTTGTCTTCCATGTGCGATATTTTGCAGTTAAAGTGTATTTTCAAATTCTTAATTTGCCTAATAAATCCATCATAAATCATTAAGAAATATATAAATATTTTAAATTTTTCTCGGCGTAATTATAAATTACATATATATATTTTTCCTTATAATATCATATTAACCTCATCTCTTTAGAGTTAATACGTTGATGAATGGAGCGAAAAATTTTCATCTATTCAATTTCAAGTATGAACTCTTCCTCTCGTGCTTGGAAAAGGCGGATAAAAACTTATACTTGCGCAAACATGAAAGATATCGGAGTTATCTCTCGCATTTTCGTTTTGAAAAGGCACGTATTATGACGCGGTCTGAATTTTTTTCAAAATTGTGAACAGATTTTTTGCCTGCACGTACCACATGCTTTCGCATTACTCAGACGAAACTTTATGATGCATGCCCGGTCTTAATTAAGCTCATACATCTCCCTGGATGCTCCTCTTGAAAAATACTGCTAAAGTTCGTCCCAACGTACGTCCATTATACTTTAGTAATACGCGTTCCTTTAACTCTTTGACGCGTTGGATGGTCAAAATGACTCCGCGCGCTGTTCAGAATTTTCACATCGCGCGTATATCTTTAGATGGACATGTTAAATCGGTTGTAATGTGCACCTCCTGTTTTTCAATTCCAGCCGCGGAACCCGCGTCAGGCACGGCGTAAATGATAGGGGGCACGTGAAAACGGGAATGGCGAATTATAGAGCGCGAAAGAAGGCGCGCTCGACTTGCGAAGAGAGCGTCGAATGCGCGTTCCCGTTGTAATTCGAGCGCGAAACTACAGGAAGAAACTTCCTCCCCAAGACATGTATCTCGGTCTCCGAGATAACATATAGCCGTGTCGTTTGTCACAGAATCTCGCTACGCACGACCCCGTCCTTTTGCGCCCGCATCTTCTCGTAAGCCCGTACGTTTCCGGTTACCGCACCAAGACCGACTCCAATGCGCATCATTAAAGAATTTCCAACTGCGGCCTCTTGGCATACATATTTCTTAACGTGCAATTTAATTTCAATTGATAAACCCAAAAGCGTACCGTATTTTTCTCATGTGCGTTTATATTTGTGTGTAATAATTCTAAAAGAACTATCTACGTGACTATATATATAAATAAAAATAACATTTACGATTATTGACAAATGTTAACTGATGATTGTTTTATTTCCGCAGAAATATTATATTTTAGAAATTTTATATAAAATTGTGTCGTAGGCAAAACAAATAAAATAAACAAATAAATTGATTGTTTTGTTTCTGTGTGTAGAAATATAATATTTTAGTATTTACATAAAATCATATTGTAAAAAAAACAAATATTTAGACTTTTATTATTCAAATTAAATTATTATATTATTTGCATATAGTCTCAGGAGTCGAATTGGCAAAGACATCTGTCACGGATTGTAAGAAGGTCCAGGCCTGATTGATATTTTTCGTCATAAATTCTTTACAGTGACTTAAAAAGAATGCTTATTAGCACCAAAAATTAAATCAATTTTATCAATTCAATTATGTAAATTTACCGTTCCAATAAAAACTGTGTTTTTGTTGCAACCGACAAATAATTGGCGCGTAGGTACAGCAGTTTACTGAGTTGGAAAAAGTATACAAAATTCACACAGAAATATTGTTATTAGGCTATCAACAACATCCATCAGCCCGACCGAAAATGGCATCTTCTCTAATTAATTATTATGTTATTTATTAAAATTAAATTAAATGATTAATGTAATGAAAACTAAATTTCTCTTATTTCTCTCATGTTAAAACTTTTTATAGTAAATTTCTATAATTTTATTTTAATTTGAGAAAAAGATGTATTGCTACTATATAGATGTACCTATGTGCTACTTAAAAACAGCAATAAAAATAAACTAGGACAGCATTAATATTGGCAATTTCATGTTAATGCCTCAGCGAAGAAATTCCGAATAAAGTCTCTAAACATGAATAATGGCAAAAGTACGTAAATTCATGTATCACGCAAAAGTCACAAAACAACACGGAAAACAACGTCGATGTGCACGAGTCAAAAATTCCAGCAGACGTGAAGCAAATTTGCGGGCGCCGCGTATCTGCTTATAATTCGAGTGTAAAATCGTAAAATAACGCGATGAGAAATTCCGATGCCGACAGCTCGGGAATTTGAAGGCGGCGGGAAACTAAGTTTCCATAGGCTGTATATTTCACGTCTGTAAGAGGCGTGGAACCGCAAAATAATTCGAGTACCGCCCTCTTTTCGCAGATGCGCGTCTTCCCGAATCAACTTCGCGAGTCGCGAGTCTTTTCCACATCGCCTCTCTACTAGCCTGTTCGAAGAAAAATATCAGTGTGTCTGAGTTTCCACAGAGAGAAAGAGAGAAAAAGAGGAAATTCACCGAGTTACCGGAAGTAACGTGCGAAGACGAACGAGCGTCGTCCGAATTTCGCGCGCCGTAAATCCGCGACGCCGGCTGATCCGCTTCGCCGGTAAAAGGAGAAGATTGTTGGGGATCGGCTGGGGGGATAAACAGACTAGACACATATACAATAGGGTGAGCAAGCGAGCGAGCGACCGAACGAGAGAAAGAGAGAGAGAGAGAGAGAGAGAGAGAAAGAGAAAGAGAGAGAGAGAGAGAGAGAGAGAGAGAGAGAGAGAGAGAGAGAGA